ATATATATATATATATATGCTATATAATCCATGTATCTCAGGACAATATACAAGTTGTACAAGCAATAGTTGAAGGCTATGCATTCAAATGGAACAAATACCATTCAGCATTATCACTGACTGGCTGTAGCTGTGCCAGTCTACAGTTCATGCATGGCCCTTTGGTATGATGCTAAGCCTCATAAAACAGTTTATCATCCCTTAAATAATTAAAAATTCCCATGATTCATATCCTGCTCTTTTCTTGTACCTTATTTATTCCTTTTTTAAAAATGTTTTCTTCTAATTTCTCTCACCCTGTATCTCTTTCTTTGTCTCCAAAAATACCTCCCTTAACTCTTACTGACATAATTATGAGTTACTTATTAAGTTAGTAGTAGCTTTTAAAGATAAGCCAAATTTCTTATAGTTTGTCAATAAGGTATTAAATTCAAGTAACCTATATCTGAAAAGAATGTATATCATTGAGAAGGCCTTGTATGTTAATAGTGAATTTAATTAAGATGAGTTTATTTGACCATCTCTAATCAAATAAGAATAATGTCCAGGATAGAGAAAGAAAAAATAGTAATTTTCAAGAGCCAATCAGTAACCAAGTAAATAAAAAGCAAAAAAGTAACCATGTTTAATAAAAGCTGTGTGACAAATTTTATTTGAAAGGAAAGCTACTTTAAAAAAATAATTATCTAATACTATTAACTACTCTAGAAAGTTATCCTGAGAAAATACACTACCTGGAAAAATAATTTTAAATTACATATAAATCAAATATTTTATATTTAAAATAAAATTAATTATATTATGAGGATAAAAGGAATATTTTAGACCACTTATTTCATAGATAGATCTTTTCATTATGATAACAGAATTTTAAATAGGCAGGTTTTCCAGTAGCAAAAATAGAAATAGAAGACTAAAAAAGTCCTTTATAAACTATCATAATGCAGTTCAGTAAAAATATTAAGCTTTCTCATTCATTAATTTTAAATGTGACACAAATGAAGAAACACATTTTCAAATACAATAGCTTAGATTCGGTTAAAACAAAATCCATGAAGAATGACAAGTTTGCTAGGTAGATTTGACCAAAGATCTCTACATAAATTTATTATATTGCATTTATTGATTTTTCCAAGAAAGAAAATATGGAGAATAAAATGTATAATATGTAAATAGAGACTATAAATAAATCAATATATCATTCATAATGGATAATTATATTTTATTATAATTTCAAAAAATATTTTAGTCACCTATATTTAGTTAAGATTTTAGAGCCTAAAAGCATGATTAAGGTTTTCTAATCTAGTTCTTAAAAGACAAAGCTACTAAATAAAAAACAATAAGATAAAAATCAAGTTCTATGAATATTTTAAAAGTAAGTACTCTAGGATCATAACACTGACAACACTAATTATCTTTTCTAGTCTTGGCAGTTATGTTGCATACTGTTTGGGTGACTGATGGGATAATTTCACTTCATTTTGTCTCAGTTTATTCTGGACCATGTAAGAGAAGAATATTAAAATAACACCTCTAAACAAAGTACTTGATAAAGTTTTAGTTGAAATAAAATGCTTAATAAATAACCTCAATTAATGAATACATGATTCCAGAGCAAATAACTGAATCCCCATCTGCTTAAGGGAAAGTTTGACTAAGAATTTCTGATGTTAGAAAAATAAGTCTATTTAGTTCTAATATTAGTTATTTTAGGACTTTTAAATATTAAGAGCATACATATACTTTCAGAAAGAGCCCTTTCATCAGCTAGCATTACTGTAACTATAAAAAAATGTGTCTATATATTTTTATATCATTAAATGTTTTATTTACTAAAATCATTTAATCGGCAGGGAAAAAAGCAGTTAAAATGTATGAAAAAACACATTATTCTGATTCCTTACACCTATACACATTTTACTTAATTTATTGATAATGGCTTTATACCCAAAAGAACACTGAAGTATTTAATTTAATATTTAATCTCAAATATAAATCTTCACCAATAGCAATTATACTACATCACTCAACTGGAAAAGGTATAAAAGACATTATTAATCATCATTTCTACTTGAATATTTAAATAAATTTTAATTCATACATAGTTTATAGTTTACATATGTCTTACATAATTTATAAGTCAAATAGCTAAAGCTCCATATTTTAAATAATTAATAGAAAGCATATTCTTTGCCTTGATCACCTGATTTTTTGTTGTTGTTTATAAAATTAATCACAGTTAGCAGGATAGAAATCGCTTTCAGCTTCATGAATGACATCCAAGAGATGGGAAAGGATTAGTTCTCAGTTGCTGCCAGTTATAGCGCCAGGTGGCTTTTTCTGCAGTGAAGGTGTTACCGATAATCCCATTACACTGGTACTAAATCTTGCAGACATCAAAATTATCACCAAGGTTCCTTTTCATCCCATCCTTTCCAAATGACTGGAAGTCGCTTCACCTGAAAGAAGTCAAATCCACATGCAGCTGCTGTTTTAGCAGGCAGCAAACTCCCTGAGAATGCCAGTCATGATTCAATTTTGCTGTGCTGGTGGCCCCCTATTCCCTGTCCAATAATACATCTGTTAAAAAATCGTACAGCTACAAATCAAGTTTAATCCTACCGGGGACCTCATGTTGGTCTTGTCTTCTAAAAAGGCAGCAGGTTCTGCTGTCTATCTTGGCCAGCGTCTGGGGAATACTCTTTAAATCCCAGCCCTACTTAGAAGAATAAGCTAAGGATCACAACACATGACCTCAAAAACCCTGATATGACTATATCCTGACCCAGAGGCATTCATTCTAGGTGAAGATTAGAACTTTGCATAATAAGATTACACAGCAAGTGAATGATATCAAGGGACTATCCATATGCAGCCGCCTGGTTTTCTATAGACAGCCTGTGCTCTGCAATATGCAGTACAGACGAAAAGGAGCTTGGTCTTTCTAGCTGAAATAAAATAGATTCACATAAATTAGTTGGCCGTTTCCAGATTCCTAAATCCCCCATTACATCTTTTATTGACAGCTCCTGTGAGGATAGCACAAATGCTATTCCTTTTTATTCTGTGCTCCTATAACAATCATGCTCTGTAATTGAAATGTACATAGATTATGGCTTGAAATTAACATCTTGTTTGCTGTAATCTTGGATTACAATTCACTGTGTACATAATAAAATTAGGAAATCAATGGATGGATTTATCAGCTCCAAAAAACTAGAGGTATTGTTTAAAGAATAGCTTAACATTTTGCGCCAACACTTTAAATGTAGAAGTCACAGAAAGATGTCAATAAAAATTTGAGTGAAAAAATACAAACATCAGCCAATATCTATGTAAGCTAGATTACATATGAATTAGCTCAATTCCCTCAAAATTCAGAAAATATGAAAGATTCAGAGATCTCATGAACATATTATTTTCTCTCTAAACCATACTTGAGCAAGGTCAATTACACATAAGGTCTCTACTTTTATAAAGTACAGAGCAGTATTTTATACTAAGCACCTTGAACATTTTGTATTTTAAGATATTTGAATCCATTCAAACCAATTACAATTCAAGGTTTTAGAGTTCTTAACAATATGTTTTTAAAGTATTTAATGAAATAACTTCTTATATTGGAATATATAGAGCATTTTAACTGTATAGAATCCTAGAGATGTTTAGAAAACAATACATTATGTTAAGCGTTTTTCTTCTAGAAGTTTAAAGCTATACCAGCTCTAAGCAAGTTTTAATGAAAACAGATTCCTATCATTCACGCAAACACCTATTCATGCAAACACAGAAAAATTATAAGCATGCGAAGAGGAATTCTCAACTTTATATTTTAAAAAAACTATTGAGATTTGCCATGGGATTCATGTAAAACTAATCTCCTTGGTATACTTGAACTATGGCTTGTTTGACAAGTTCTATTTGCCCACAATTGCTGAGGAACACACCACATACCTTATATTAGTCATTTTCTCCTTATAATCACAGTATCTTTAAGCATATCTATACAATATCTGTTAAGTACTCAGGAGTCAGGTGTTATAATTCTGATTTTGTGTATTAAACAGGCATGTATAACCCAAAAATATTGTGTAACTTCAACTACATAATAGCACATGTATACTCTTTGATTGCCTTGATTAGGATATTAAAAAAATAATGAGGAATGCAAAAATTACACATTTCTGTTATGATATTTACATCTAATATTCTAGTGCTATACTATTTAATAAAGTAGCCACTAGCTACATATGGCTATTGAACACTTGAAATGTGAACTCTCAATCCACTCTTTTCCTACTACATAATAGCACATGTATACTCTTTGATTGCCTTGATTAGGATATTAAAAAAATAATGAGGAATGCAAAAATTACACATTTCTGTTATGATATTTACATGTAATACTTTAGAGCTATACTATTTAATAAAGTAGCCACTAGCTACATATGGCTATTGAACACTTGAAATGTGACTACTCCAAACTGAGAGGTATTATAAGAATAAAATATTCTTACACAGGACTTTGAAGACTTAGTACAAAAAAAAGTAAAATATTTTATATATTAATTACATGTTGAAAAGATAGTAATTTAGATACAGCAGGTTAAATAAAATACATATATAACTCATATTTCTATTGGACAGCACTGTTTTAGCAGATTACATATTTTTAATAATATATTCTTAAACTAATTAAAATTGTACAACTAATAAAAATACTAAAGCAGAGGGTTATTATGGAAGAATAAACATTACAGTCTAGTGTTAAATCTGGTAGATAAGCTTAGTAAAGAAAGAAGAAAATGCAGTCATTTTAGAATCTATTTCATATTTCTAGCTTAAGGGTAGTGAGGAAGGAGGGACTAGCCAAATTACTGACCATTGTGAACCAAAAAAGAATAATGTGTTATAGTTAGAAAAATGTTTTAGTCCAGTAAGCATAGGCTTTTAGAAAAAATACATCTTGAGCAACTTCATAAAAGACTACTAAGGTCTGTGTGTACCACTCACTGAGTCCAATAGACAGCAACTTCAAATAACATGTCTGCATCTACCAAGTGCCATGATTTTTTTCCTAAGGTGCTATATAATTACTTATATTCACATTTTTCAAATATATCATAATAACTACATAGACTTGAAGCATTTAGTATATTTCAGAATTTTAGAAAAATGAAAAAGTTCAATTTTATAAATTATTAGAAGGCTGCTTTTCCATTAGTCATTTCATTATCCATCAATGTAGGTTTATAAAATTTCATTAATAAAAACAGTTTTACAGAAACAAGGAAAACTGTAAATAGTTAAAATATAAAATGTATACCTAATTTAAGTAAAGAAAGTTAATGGTAGATTTAGAATAACCAAAGGAAATTGATATTATACAATTAAAATACAAAGTCTATCTTTGTCACACATTGGGAATTTCTATAAAGAGTAGTACATAAAGTAACTCATTTAAAAGTTACTTTTTCATAATTTTTCCTTTATAATATAATATTTATCTAAAATACTAAGACTGAAGATGATACATTAGTATCAATAAATAAGATGGATAACATCTAAATCAGTTCTTTATAACCTAGCCATGCCACTTTTTCCTACCTTTTTAAAATTATGTATTTCTTTCCTTTCCTGGTTACAAGTATCACATATACACACAGACACAGACAAAAGCACACATATAAAAACAAAGTAATAACAATAAAAAAAACTTTCTAACCATCAGTATATGAGAGCAATGATATTCAGTCTAAGTTAATCCCCAGACATCCAAATTCATGAATAAAAATTCATCAGTTTTAAATACACTGAGCCTATTAAGCAAGAACAAAAGCATATGCACAAAAGAGCTTTTAATATATTTCAAAGCCCACAAGTGCCATGGTCTCATTAAAATTATAAATTACACAAACATGGAATGAAGATTCAAACTGCAGTGCAGCTAAGCAGATTACAGAAAACCCCGCGTTCCATATGATAACACACCATGGCCCTCCCAGATGGGGGCTTGGAACAAAAAGGCCATCACCACAGCTAGGGAAAACCTCCTTGTGATCTCTGGTTTCTGTTCAGCAGATGACAGCCAAATAATATGTTGATTATTCTGTTTGTGCTGCTAAGCTTGTAAGATGGAATAAAAGCGATATGATCTATTGTGAACCCAATGCTAATGTGTTGCTCCACTCATAAATAATATACTGAATTTATTTTGAAACTACCTTTTATCTGTATTTCAGTTTTTAAATGCATGAATTAAAATAAAAGCCAACATAAAATATTATTTAATTTGATGCTTTAAACTAAGAAATGTAGATGACAAGTGAAAAATACCTAAGTGCTTAGTTAAGAGCCTTTCTATAATTTCACCACTGTGATCACAGACAAAATACATTTTTAAATAGGCAATTTCTCTCATTAAGAAATGTAAATGTAGACTTAATACAGTAAGTTAATAATATACATTATTGACAAAATAAAAACTAAAATACTAGAGTATATAAAAATACTTTTCTGCAATACAAATAATGGCACATAATCAGAACATATGTCTCATATACTTCTGAATAATAAAAAGTATCACTGAAAGCCTTGTGAATGTTCTTAACATACATAAATGAATGCTCACCTACCTACAATCAAAATAATTAAAAAGAAGCTTATAAAATAATTCTCAAATTAACAGCCAGCATTTCATATTGCTTTGATGTCAAAAACTAAAACCTAATTTTTCCCTCACTGAAATATCCCAAACTTTAACAGAATGAACTATACTTAGATGAGGTAACTGGCATTGTGTCTGTAAATACTTCACCAAACTTTAGATTTCATGGATAAAAATTTTTATGATTACTAGCACTATTTAAAATATTGAAAATCAAAACTTTTCCCACTCCAGATATCCTTCCCTGAATAATCTTGTGTACAGCAACATAAATAAAGAAGTACATTAAAGTTACAGTTGAGGCAAACATAGATAAACATACTGTTTTCTTAAGGGAGTATTTAGTAAAAAAGCACATAAGTATGGCCATTAACATAAATCCACCTCCCTTTTCTGTTTAGAGGTATAGATTTTTGAGTCTAAAAACCAGAGCAAAATTGCCTAACATGAAAAATACAATCTAAAATTATGGGTATAAAATGTAAAACAATAATACTTTTAGAGAAAAACAGAATACAGACCATCTTTGGAATAGACAAATATTTCTTAAAGAAGAGGTAAAGAGCACTAAACATAGATGACAAACTAGACGACTTTAAAGTCATAATCATCTGTTCATCAAAAGCACTATTAATAAATTGAGAGGGCAAACCTCAGAGCAGGAGAAATGTTTGCAATACCTATATTAGATGAAGGACTCATATTCCAAATATATAAAAAACATCTACAAGTCACAGAAAAAGACAGCCCAATAGAAACATGGGCAAGAGAAATGAACAGTTGCTTCACAAAAGAGAATAATGAAATAGGCAATATACATCGAATGAAAAGGTGCTCAACTTCATTAATCATCAGGGAGCTAAAGAATAAAACGATAATGATTTACTATTTATACACATCAGAATCTGAAAAATATAAAGAGGTGGATAAAAGAATCGAGTGTTGGCAAAGACGTGGAGCAACCAAAGCTCTCACAGAAATGTAAACTAGTACCATTTTAGAAAACTGGCAATACTGATTAAAGTTGGACATATATTCTTATGATCCAATAATTTTGCTCCTAGATATATCATCAAATGAAACACATAAATATATTAATCAAGAAGTATGTATTATAATGTTTATAGCAGTGTTAGATGGAAACTTCCAAAATGTCCGTTAACAGAATGGATAAACAATAGTTGTGATACAGTCATATATGATGACATGCAGCAATGAAAATGAACAAAGTATGACTACATGCAACAATATGGACAAATCTCATGACAAAAAGTTAAGCAAAGGAAACCAGACATAAAATAGACTGTATAATTCTATATAAAATATAAATACAAGCAAAACTAATGATGCTACTGAAAAGTCAGGGTAGGGGTTATTCTAGTGCAGAGAGAGAAGTAGTGACTGGAAGGAAACATGACAGTTGGTGTCGTCTAGAGTGTTGATAATGTTCTTTTTCTTTATCTAGGTGCTGGTTACATGGGTTTTTTTTGGCTTCTAAAAAATTCATTGAGCTATCTACTTATAATATGTGTACTTTTCTGTATATAGAGCTTTCTTTTAAAAGGCAGTTTTACACACAGATACACAAAAGCAGTCAAAATCCTTGTCATAGGAAAAAACTAAGGGTTCTGAGATAGTTCATTTAAATAATCAAATTTTCGATTCAACAGATTTTGTATACCATTCCAGATTTTCTTATGCAAATATAAGCATCTCTAGATATATTCATATTTTGATTCCCCACCCTTTTACACAAAAATTGGTTACACTGTTTGAATTCTGCTCTCTTGAAACGGCAATGTATGTTTGAAAACTTCCAAATCTGCATATAGAGAACATCCTTTCTTTTTTTAAAGCTGTATAGCTAGGCCACAGATCATTTAACAAGTACCCTATGGGTAGACATTAGGGTGTTTCCAACAGCTTGCTACTACAAAAAGAAAAAAAAAATATAATGTAAACTCCAATGTATGTTGGTTATAACTTTTAGATGCCATTAAACAGGAAACAGACAATGAAAATTAGACGCAAGACTATCAGCACTTTCATCATATTCCAGATATCAACATAATGACAATGGTATTACTCATTATAACAGAGTTGCTTTTGTCATATACTATTTTGTGTGTGTTTGTGTGTGTGTGTGTGTGTGTGTATGTGTGTGTGTGAGTGAATACAGCCAAGGATTCCCCTCCAGCTAACCAGTTACTTGTCCATCTATTAAGTGCTAACCTTCAAAAATTACCGTGTCCAGCAGGGAGCAGCATTAGGGCATTCATAAGACTTAACTTGAACACAAACCAGACAAAAAAAAAAAAAAAAATGAGGAAAAGAGCCCACTTACCATAGATCTGTTCTACAATATATTCAAAGTTTAGAGTTGTTGCAGGGCTTCCAGGAAAAAAAAAAGCATCTAACGCATCTCAAAGCATATGTGGGTGACCCATGGTTTCAGGATTTCTAAAGTAGAAAATCAAAATTATATTAGTTAAAGGCTTTTTTCAGCCATGTTGATTTGAGTTAACATATATGACTAAATGTTTCTCAATTGTTAAGATGCATCTTCCTCTTTAGCAGGTCAATGGGATTTTGAATTCAGATATTCAATGACACTTTGGACAAAATGATTTAAAAAAACAGAGTATTATAGTTCTTTATGAGGGAATTTAAAGTAGAAGAAAGTACATGGGTAACATAATGTATCAATCAGCCTAAAGAGAACTGTGTTCAAGGACTTAAGGAAGTTGTTAACACCAACCGCATACAGTTCTGATATATTAAATTAATTTCTACATGTCAGCATGAATATCTAAAGTTAATTTTAAGCATGAAAAGGCAGCAGAGAAATAGTTGGTAATGCTGATGTGTTAAGACTAATTAAACAGATATTTACTCACTATGAAGAATGTATACGATATTGTTGAAAAACTCTGTGACAAACTATAATATGACAAAGGCAAAATATATTATGGTTGATACTGTCTTGAATGTCAAAACCTGCCTCATATTCAACCATAATAACTCCATTACAATTCTTATGGCTGAGAGAAAAAGTTTTATCATTTTTATTTGAAATGTTAAAAGTTTGCTCTATGTGTTTACATGTGACATTTGAGAGTCTACACTGAAAACTAAATTTTTGTCATTAAAAGAAGATAACAGCATATGAATATTCATCTAAAAATATACAATTACATAGAACATACAATATCACATATTAATATGTTAATGAATATGTAACAAGTTTCCTACTATTTTCTTCTGGCAAAATGATATGAGAATCTTGAGTGCATGATATCAAGACTACAGTGACTCTCTAATACTTATGATTGATTTGACTGAAGCTGAAAGAAACTCTCATATCTTAGTCTTCTATCCTTTATCATTAAGCTATTTATGACATTTTTTCTTATCCTTTGCTCTCCTTAAAGTCTTCCTCTTATCCTGTTTCTTGCCTTTGCTATTGTACATTGCACTTTTCCAATACTTCCTCATTTCGGTCAAATCTATCTTTCTTCTCTTTACTGCTTCACAAATAGAATGTTGAGCAAAAAATGTCAAAGATAAGAAAAAGTGTATTGCTTCATATATATAAAGTACAAAACAGGTAAAACAAATCTATAATCCTGGAAGTCAGGACTAAGATTTCCCTTTGTGAGTACTAGTATACTAATAGGAAACAAAAAGGAATTATGTGGTGTCTACCAATTGCCTCTGTGCAGGCATAACCATGGCATTCATTCATTCAATCATGCTACCAAAATACCATATTGTAGTAAGCCTCCACAATATCTGTTACATGCTTTACCTGCACTGACACAATGGGAAAAGCCACTGAGTTAATTTTTGTGAAAGGTGTAATAAAGTCTATGTCTAGATTCTTTTGGTGGGGGCGGGGAGGGGGGATGTGTATGCCTATGTGTTCCAGCACAATTTGTTGAAAAGACTATGTTTGGTATTGCTTTTGCTATTTTATCAAAGGTCAGTAGACTATAGTTGAGTGTATTTCTGGGCTATTCTCTTCCACGAATCTGTCTATTCTTTTGTCCATACTATATTGTTTTGATTACTATAGCTTTATAGTAATCTTGAAGTTTGGTAACAGTGGTCCTTCAACTTTGATTTTCTTCTTCATTGTTTTGGCTATTCTGGGTCTTTTGCCTCAATCAGCTTATATCTGTAAAGTAACTTGATGGAATTTTTATTGGAATTGCATTGAATCTATAATCATGTTGGAAAGAATTGATATTTTGACAATATTGACCTCCTACCCATGAAAATTGAATGTTTCCATTTACTTAATTCTTCAATTTTGCTCATCAGAGTTTTGTAGTTTTCCTCATATAGACCTTGTATGCATTTTTTTAGATTTATGCTTAAATATTTCTTTTTTTTTAAATACTAATGTCAATTGTATTTTTTAATTTCCAATTTTATTTGTTCAGTTAGTATACTGGAGCTGATTTTATTTTGATAGGATGATAAGATGGCTTTACTGAATATGGTGAGTACAGAACAATAAATAAATAACAGAATTTAGAGAGTAAGGGAATTTATAGAGTGATGTGCCTACAGAAGTAGGTAGAAGGAACTACATGCAGGTCCTTAAGAAGTTTTGTTTTATATTATATGATTATATTATATGATCATATTTCTATTGAAAAGGTCAGGATGGCTCTTGAATGGAGAATGTACTACAAGAGAACCAAAGAAGGGCTACATGCCCTAGCTATATCAGGGAGCTATTAAGAGGTAAATTCACAGGTCTTGGTAATGGGCTGCATATAGCAAAATGCAATTTGAAATAGGGATTGAGTGAAGTTCCATTGCTTAGGCAACTAACTCTACAAACTGTCTTATCATTTAATAAGATACAAAACATTAGAGGGAGAATAGGGAACCTCTCTTCTGCCCAGGGCCATTTGGGTATTTATAACATCATTCTTAGGCCATACAAAATTATCAATTTAAAAATTACCTTACTATATTTGGTCAAACATTTAATTAACTACCCCTAATGTCTTGGCAGAGCCAGACCAAATGATTTTGCAGGCCTTATACAGCTCTTGGGCCCAACATTCCCCACCCCTGCACTAGAGGAAGTTCAGTCTCGGGTATTGTGAGGTTAAGGTTCCACTAAGACTTTTAAGAAACAGGTAAATATATGAATTTATGATTCTGGAGGTCAGAGAAGCAATCTGTGCTATAAATGTTAGACATTGGTATATAAATTGTAGCTGAGGTCCTGGGAGTGGATGAAGGTAATATAAAACATGGTAAAAAGATAAAGTGGTCCTAAGGACTTCAAGATTTAATGGCAGAAAGCAAGATCCTTACTTTTTAAAAAATATATTTTATTGATTTTTTACAGAGAGGGAGGGAGAGGGATAGAGAGTTAGAAACATCAATGAGAGAGAAACATCGACCAGCTGCTTCTTGGACACCTCCTACTGGGGATGTGCCCGCAACCAAAGTACATGCCCTTGACCGGAATCGAACCTGGAACCTTTCAGTCCACAGGCCAAGGCTCTATCCGCTGAGACAAACCGGTTTGGCAAGAGTCTTACTTTTTTAATACCCTCTAGCCATTGAATTGTCCATTCTTTCAAACACTAATCCCTCTCCTGTGCTCCGATTCCATTCCTTATACCTCATTCAAGTCCTTTTATCAATTGTCTAAAGTTGTTTTACAGTTCCTCTCAAACAATAAAACTCCTCCCTTGATTTTTTGTCATCTCTTTCTATCCCCTCCCACCACTCCAAAACAAATTTTTCTAAAATGTAAAATGGTCTATTTTTATGGAATATTCAACTTCACTTGCCATTTAATTCTAAATACAATTATTTGACTTTTCAGTTTAACAAAATAAACCATTATTACTAAATCAAATAATCACTTTCCAATTCTTATTTTGTTTTCTGTTCCTCTGCCCAGCTTGTAAATATTTATGTTCCCCAAAGTTTATTCTCAGTCATTTTTTCTTCTGATTCTAAAATATACATTTCCTGGGGTAAACTTCCATCATATGCTCATTAACTTCAAATCTATGTTTCATCTAGAGTTCCCGCTTTCACATAATCCACTGTGCATTGGATATTTCCACTTGACTACTCCATAGGTTCCTCCAATTACACACATTTTTAAAAAATACTCATTTTATGATCTCCCATTCCCTAAAATAACCAACATAACTACAAAATTCTGCTGTCTCTCCTTTATCCTTTATCATCTACTACAGGCCCCGAGCACAAGTTTTGATCCCTGTGGGATTGGGCCTAAATTGGCAGTCGGACACTCCTCTCACAATCCGGGACTGCTGGCTCCCAACCACTTGCCTGCCTGCCTATCTGATTGCCCCTAACTACTTCTGCCTGCCAACCTGATCACCCCCTAACCACTCCCCTGCCAGCCTGATCAACACCTAACTGCTCCCCTGCTGGCCTGATTGCCCCCAACTGCCCTCTCCTGCCAGCCCAGTCTCCCCCAACTGCTCTCCCCTGCCGGCCCAGTCACCCCCAACTGCCCTCCCTTGCTGGCCCAGTCCCCCAACTGCTCTCCCCTGCAGGCCTGGTCACCCCCAACTGCCCTCCCATGCTGGCATGGTCGCCCCTAACTGGCCTCCCCTTCCAGCCATCCTGTGGCTGCATGCGCAGCCATCTTTGAGGGCGTGGCAGTCAATTAGCATATTCCCTTCTTATTGGTTGTGGGTGCTGCCATCTTTGCGATGGTGTGAGGGTCAATAACATATTCCCTCTTCAGTCTGCAGGCCAACGCTCTATCCACTGAGCCAAACCAGTTAGGGCTTTCCCTCTTTATTAGATAGGATCACCCACAAAGCTGTTCAAGGCAGAAACCTGTGAATCATCTTTGGTTCCTCCTGTCAACCTTCCTTGATCATATCAATTCTACCCCTTATAGTAATATATCTTAATCCATTCCATTCTCTTTATTCCAGTCACACTTTTAGACAATCCATTTTCTTCTAGCATGTTTAGCCAAAACATAACGATCAAATATAATCACTGTCATCTTTCCTTAAAAGTTTTCAATGATTTCCCATTTCCTATTATGCCTAAAGGAAAAAAATCTACTACCTTAGGAAAACTAATTAGACCTTCTCCAATCTTCCCTTCTATTCATACTATGCATAAACCATGAGAACAACTTACACAGAAGCAATGAGAACAGATTTACTGAAGGAGCAGTCTTCCTATTCTCTGTAATGGCTTCCATTCTCTGTAACGATTATATCACCTACACATTCTTCAAAACTCAGGTTAAGCTTTCTCATCAGGGGAAACTTTCCAAGGCCCTTCTCAGTCCAAGTTAGGTATCATACATTTGTCCTCCAATAGAAATTATATAGTATACTTTAGTATTCTATTTATCCACCTATGTCCCTCAACTGTGCACTCAAGGAAGGCAAAGACTAAGTATTCTTTTTTCTGTAACCTGTGTACTTAGCTCATTACCTGGAACATAATTAATTATTATTCATCATTAACAGCACACCTAAACATATACCTTTTTATCTCTTCGCTTCTAAAGATACACTGTATTTAATCCAATGCCTTATATTCAACTCTATATACTGGTAAATTCAAATATGTGTGATTATTTGCTTTGAGAGCAATAGTTTTGTCTTTGTAAAAAAAAATCAAGACAAATTAAATTATCCTCTGATAATTTTATACTATTCCAAAGATACAGCCTAACTTCAGAAATTCCTTGGGTGCATATGTCATGTTCCCAAATTATAAAAGTTGAAAACAATTCTTCAGTTCTAGTAATAAGGCAAATAAAGCATCACATTATCATCCTTAGAAAACCAAAGGGTAAACAGAGTAGGAGACAAGAGAATAGGAAAAATAAAATGTAAAAAATCAGTATTTAAGACTAATAAAAATATCCAAGATGTTTCTATTTGATATGAAAATGCTTTGCCACTTTTTGTTTTGCTCTTCTTAGTAGTTACTACAGATCAAAATTTGTACATATTGCTCAATGTGTTCAAGTGCTGTTCTGTTTTCTAATGTTAATCTTTTCTCCCCCACATAAGAACATTTTTACTTCTGTAGGCCTAAAAATGACAAGAGTAGGTCTAAGCAAAGAGTAAGCACTTAACAGCTATTTACTGAATGATTTAGATATATACTGGCAAAAGATCCAAAATAAAAACATCTAAACCTCATCAAACTTTCCAGATGATATAGTTGAATAGCAACATGAGTTTGTTTTTTTCCTGAACATTTTTCTTTAAAAAAAAAAAAATCCAGAAAAATGAAAGACCTCCCCAAATGAAAAACTCCAGTCACTACTTAGCAAACTAATTCTGATGTATCAAACAGAACCTGCCAAAGATTTTAACGGGTCATTGAGATTTAAAACAATTCAATGGCAAGAACTGCCATGAGGTTTGGTTGTATTTTAAAAGTAGCATACATCACTGTCAAAACCAGTCATAACTTTGTAGTACAGGCATGATTTGGGAGTCTTTTTATAGTTTAAACTTGTCAATCATGAATGCTTTTAAAAATCACTTACCCACCACACACACACACACACACACACACACGCTCAGTTTTAAGAAAAATTTTAAATCGAAAGACACAGCTCTAAATTACATTTTTCCCCTGCACATAAAATTCCTATTCTAATAAGAAAACTCTCATTTTAAAGTTCACAAATCACTAGGAAAATAAAGTACATACACATTTCATTCTTACCAGTTTTTTTGGAAGAATACCTCAAGTAGTTTGTTATTTGAAGGTGTCTTAACAGCAAACGACAATTAAATGTGTGAACAAGGTTGTCAGAGTAACACTTGTCATTCACACCACTTATGGAAAGGGGCTTTCAGAAGCATTAATTAAAATTAACGAAAGCTTGTCGCGGGGACGTGCCAGAGAAGTACATTTTGTCATTTGCTCTTAGAATCAGAGGGAAACCAAAGCTCCAAGCTCGAGTTTTCACTCTAAGGTCTAAACCCAACCCACCTGCCACTGACAAACTGAGCTCAGATGCTCAGCAAGCAACTCATTAAGGTGAGTTCCGATTCCTTCAGTATAACACAACCATTTAAAAAAAATTAATGACTTCAGGTGAAGACGATGAATTTTCCATCAGATATCAGAAGAGAAAGGGGCGGGGAAATGTATCTTTCCTCTTCACAGACAAGCCTAAGTGAAAAGTCCTACTGGCAGTTGTTTGATATTTCGCTCCACCGATCGCTTCTGTAATTAAACGTGAAGACACTCAAAACGAGAGCAAAGTTGTATATTACCCACCTCTTGCCCCAAAGAACCCCGGAAGGCTCTCATCCAGGGCTCACCGGGGCCTTTCTCACCTGGGTCCCGCACAAGTCCGCCGTCCTCACGCAGAGAGCACTTTTCAGCAAGACGCCTTGCTATTGGTTGACTTAAGACGGAACTCTCAGTTCTATTGGCTACAAGAGCCACAAAGAGGCGGGAGTTGGGGGCTGGCGCTGATAGGCCGGCTATTGGAGTTCCCAGAGTTCCTATTGGGTCTACGCGAGAAGCGCCGAGATGGCGGCAGAGGGAAGCAGCGGCCCCGGCACCTGGACTCCTGGGTCTGTGGCGGCGGCGGCAGCCAGCAAACACAACGTCACCAGTTTCCAGAGAAGGGGTCCGAGAGCCAGCGGCACCGAGAGAGGCGGCTGTCGACTCGAGTCCATCGCAGGCACACGACCGTCGGTGCGGAACGGACAGCTGCTGGTATCAACCGGGCTCCCAGCCCTGGACCAGCTCTTAGGTCGGTTCAGAACGGAGATCTAGGCTCGACAGAGGGAAAGCAAGTGAGGAAGAAAAAGGTTAAAAAAAGAAAAACATAAGATAAAATAAAATAAAAATTACAATAGAATAAAGAAAAAATAATACTAAAGAAACAAAAATAAAAAATAAAACCCCCCCGCCTTCAGACGTGGAGACATGGCCTGGTCTGAGAGAGAGAGGGAGGGAGGAGGGGTTGCATGGAGACTCGGAAATGCTGTTAACCAGCCCGGTGCTGGTGCTCCCACTGTCACTCGGCTCCTGCCCAGCAGCCTTTTTCTAATTTGCGACCGGATCCCTTCGTGCTGTTACCTCGGTCAAGGGGAGTTACTCACGATGGGAGACAGTGCGGCCGTCCTCTCTAGAACCCCCTCCAGGTCTCTGCCACCCCCAGGTAGTTCGTGGTTTGGATTAACCTGCAAAAGTTGGTATCAATGTGAGAGATGGGCTTCATTGGAAGATACTAAAAAAAAAAAAAAAAAAAGTAACTTCCCGTCTTCCACCGCCAGGCTGCTCATCTCCGGTTCTGAATCTTTAAACAAACCACGTTGGCTTGAAAAGAATGGATTAAAGGTTTATGTAGATCCCAAGTTAGTTACACGCGTATCTGCTGCGTTAAATACACTTTTGTTTCTGTTCGATTTTTAACGAGTGAAAGAAGGGCAGTTCCTAGGCGTCCCTGTTATAATCTCTGGAACCTTTCTTTCATGACAAGCCTGCTATGAATATGCTCGTTTTGTAACTGTTACACTGAAAGGATTGACCCGATTAGGTTGGTAGGACAGAACTCCTATGTTAATAAAGGTTGTGAATTAGTTAATTCCTATCTGAATGCTGCTTCATTTAAAAAGTTGTATGTTTGTATCTCATGACTTCTTAATAGTGTGTGATATGTGCCAGTTAAATCTTGTACACTTCCATAAAATTCTAGAAATGCCATTGCTTGTTCTTGTACTTCACTCGACATTTTTCTCTCTGTAATCCCTCCACCCCTAGCCCCCAGCCCCACCCTGCAAGGTTTAATGCAAAGGAAAGTGACAAGGCAAGCAACCTGTGAGAAAGAATATGGTTGTGTGTTTTTTTTCCCCTCTGTTATTTCATGTTCTTAACTGGATCTTGGTTATTTCTACATAAGTCTAAGTATTTTTTACTTAATTGTCTCAAGTCTATTGCCTTCCTAAATTGCATGGTACTACAAACAATTATTCAGAATATCTCACCTTTCTTTTTTTTAACCCTTGCCACTTTACTTAGGTGTGATCCTATATTTGAACTTAAAACTTGGAAGCTGTTTTCAGATTGAAGTTCACATATAGGATTACACCAAGTGTTTATATATATATGTAATATGTATTATACGTGATTATATATTAATTCAATTGAGAAATGAAATTTTACTCACTGGATCCTGAAACTCTTCAAACAAAAAGGTCACATTTCTGACGTTATATTCTTCAGTTCCTAATTAGAATATCAAAATGTGCCTAGCACAGTTCCCATCACTTAGTAGATTCTCAATAAGTTCTTGATTGAAAAATAAAATAATGTGTAGAAAAAAGAGCAAAAACCTGGACAAGAATTTATGAAACATGTAAGATGAAGCTCAAAAAACAGACTCAGAAATTAAGTTACATGAAAAGCCACAAAGCCATTAACAGCCTGGGCTGATCTTTAGGCTCCAGATTTAGTGCTCTGCAAATGCTACAGCTGTTTCAAACCTTTGAGAACTCTTTTCAAGTGATTTTAACCAGTCCCTGGAAGCACCCCACCAAAAAGGTAACTCAAAGCAACTTCCTCATGTGTTTCTACAGTGATATAAACTTGAACTCTAATTTCAAAATTTTCCAGGTATGCTTAAGGATAGGAACTTTAGTATTTGACTGTAACAAGCTTATGCTAAAAATTAGTGTTCATTAAGATGATTGCAATGAGTATCAGTTTTTAGATATTTTGAAATATTTTTTACATGTGTATAGTTAACTCTCAGTGTACAAAGGAGGGGAAGAAGTTGTTATAGGAATTACTACATTTGGAATAATAACATGTGCAGAAGTATTTTAGTTGTTAACTTCTTAATGCCATTTTTGTATTTTCATGTTCTATTTTGTATGGCCCTGTGGAGCAAACCCATTAAATTTGTTTTTCATTAAAACATGATTTGAAAGTGAAACATTTGGCTGCTAATGTGTATATACATAGGTATAAGCAATTCAGATTATGTTGTTACTCACATGTTATTTGACTGGGATTCTGACAAGCGTAATATGACCATATTGTGACAAAATGCAATGATAGCATGGTATATCAGGATGATGAAACTATACTGTGACATTATACTGTTGCCTAAATAAATTCAGTAATTACTGGGTAACAAGTAAATACCATATTGCTATTGCCATACAGTACAGCGATATTTTACTGTTGCAACTGTGACATCATTGTAATTTTAAGCAGAGATGCAAAATATACTTAAAAGTCATCATACAGGCTAATTAAATAATATTCTCAAATTTCTATTCTTACTACTCCAAGAGCAAAGCATTTCATAAATTTGAGAATTTCCCATATATGCATCTTTTAAACATGATCTAATCATATTAAATATTTTTGTTCTGTCAACTGAATTTTATTGTTAGATACTGATAGACATTTCCCAAGTGGGCTACATTTAAATTTTTCAGGTTCTGAGATTTCCTAATCCAGGTTCTCAACTCTGCCCTTTCAGGAAATTTATGTTATTTGATGATACTATATGTAAATATTCCATTTTTCCTTTCCAGAACTTCCAAAGAGAGGTTATAATGGGTAAAAGATTCTGGCAGAATTTCTTTTATCCTTGCATAGAAGGTGTAGTCCATTTTAGGGCCGTATCATTGAGTCTGTAGGAATTATTCCCCAGCCTCATCCTTTAAAAAGATAAAGGAAAGGTGACTTCAGGCTTGACTGGGTTAACTTCTTTGCTGTTTAGGACTTAGTAAATTTTGACTGTCGGGTGAATGGCAGATAGGATTTTGGGGTAAATAATAATCCAGGAAAAGTATTCCAAAGAAGTTCGATATAGCAGCCATTTTCAACACTGATGTCAAAAAATAAATACTAGTGGGCTTATTTCCTTCGCTTCACTTTATCAGTCTAGAGCAGCCATGGGCAAACTACGGCCCGCGGGCCAGATCCGGCCCATTTGAAATGAATAAAACTAAAAAAAAAAAAAAAAGACCGTATCCTTTTATGTAATGATGTTTTCTTTGAATTTATATTAGTTCACACAAACACTCCATCCATGCTTTTGTTCCGGCCCTCTGGTCCAGTTTAAGAACCCATTGTGGCCCTCAAGTCAAAAAGTTTGCCCACCCCTGATAGAGACTGTAGGAGATGTTCATTGAGTTTGGACTCAATAAAATAATCCTGATTATGATATTTTAGAACTAAAAGCTGTAGCTTGTTCCTTTTTTTATGTAAAATTGTTTCATGTGATTTAATCTATATAGCCATTGTCACTTCATAGGTTTTTGTATTTTGATTCCTATATTTGCCCAGTCAATAATTGTTATAATTAAGAGTTGTCAGGATGTCTTATACTCCTAGAGAGAGAAGAAAAGGTAGATTTATTAATGAAATAACTGCAATTTAATTTGAGGTATGACATTAAATATTTAAGAATATTGCTATGAACTAGAAAGGATATGAACTTGTTTTTAACATTACATTTTCTCTAAAATGTCTTTCTATTCTTTTAAGCAAAACTATTCTTTTATAGAGAACACTTAAAAGGACTTGCTTAGTTCACTGTTACTTTTTCTAAGTGTTTTTCCTTTCCCTTTTATTTTCTCTTAACTTTGAAAAGGGAGATACCCTTGTTGTAAAATAAGGGATCATTACTGGGCCTTCATATTCTAATATATTACTTTGACGTTATTTACCCAAAATTTATAGCTTAATTAAAGATTTGTTTTGGGAAGTGTGGGGATTGAATATTCTTTCTTTAAAATAATATCGATATAATTTTCTAACTTCATACAAATTTTTTAAAAATCCTTTACCTCATATTTAAAAAATCATAAGATAGGAAAATATTGTCACTTAATCACAAGATCTTAAATTTTCTTTAATGTTTTCTAAAGCATTAGATTTTTTTT